GGGCTGGGCTTGAACTCGCCACCTCCAGCATATGGGGCCGGCGCCCTACTCCTTTGAGCACAGGTGCTGCCCCAACTTGTGTGATTTTTATCACTTTTTATTTTGAGGAATATGGACTGTTCAACCAAACAACTCTAGACCTTATCAAAAACATAAACTTCAAAATAAAATCACAATTAGACCAATTTTTGGGTAACTGCCATCTGTAAAACTTTGAACATATTGTAAATGGTAATCAAGCACTTCTAGAACTAAAAACTTACCTTCAATCAAAAGAAATGAAATCAGTTTTCCTGTTGGTTGTGTGATTAACCAACTACATTGTCTACTATCATCACAAAATGCCAAATTTACCCCAAGTACTATACCTCATAATGGGTGCTTGCAAATCCAGTATTTTCCTCATCTCTAAATTTAAAGCTGGAGCACACTGTTCTTCCTTAAAATGAGGTGTCCCCTTCATTTGTGGACTTCCTCTAACCAAAAAAAAGAGAAAGTTATTGAATTTGTCTCTACTTTGTAGCTAATATATACCTTATCAAATAAAGTGAATGAAATTAAACTTTCAAATCAGGTGTTCATCATTTAGATTCTCAAATGAAAGAGAGACTTAAATTTCATTGTAGCAAACGTATCTATTTACCAGTTGGAAAGAAGTAAGTTTGACCAATGTGATTTGGGTTTAGGGGAATGGCAAGGGTGGAGAAAAGCAGACAACCTGAGAAACAGAACCACTTAAGATAAAAGTGAACTGTCATCAAGAGAACTGACGTTTTGTTTAAAAAATGACTGAGGGTGCTACATGCATCAATGCCCATCTGTAGTCATAGCTACTTGGGAGGACAAGGTAGGATGATCACTGGAGCCCAGGAATTCAAATCCCAAATCTATGCTGGGCAACACAGAAAAACCCCATCTCTCATAAAAAAAAAAGAGAAAGATTTGAGGTCCCTTTCCAAGTTCGTAAAAACACATACCATTCTATTTAGTGCATGTCCCAACTGGTCCAAATTGTTAACTTCATCTTATCTTACTCGACACCTCATCATTGATTCCTATTTTTTGGGTGTGTCTCATAATTAAGGTTAGATTCAGGGATGCAATAAGGAAATACTTCACAAACTATCTGGTTAAGAAGAGAAAAATGGCTAACTTTTAAAAATCTATCACATTAAATATTAATAGATACACTAGAGTGGCTAGGTCAATGCCAATATAATTGACCTGTCACACACCTTCAAAAAGACACAGAGCTGTTTTGGATTCTTTATCTCTACATGATATAGGAACAGACTACTGTTCATTAGATTGCTATTCTTCAGTGTCTTTGCTGGAATCTAATAGCTATCTGTCTCTATCAACTATCTATCACTCTTGGCAACAATTAGAATGCCAATATCATCTTTCCCTTTCCAGTCACCTACAATCCTGTAAATCAATGTCAGTACTATTAAAATTACATGCAAAGAGCCAACAACTCCAATAGCCTTTAAAGTTCTTGGCTTTGTGAGTTTATTTTGATGCTCTGGAACCTTTCCTATTTACTTTTTAGTTCTAAAATATTTTCATATAAAAGGTTGGTTGTCCTTTATTACTATTCTGTCTTGCTACTGTCATGACCTGGAATACTTGATTCCTTCTATGTTTGAATGACTAAGTTAGCTAATATTTAGCTACACAGGTTCACATTCAACTATTATGTTGGACTGATGTAACAGCCACTATGACATAAAAGTAACTGATTTATAGGAGTCACATTTAAACTTCTGATCACACAAACTGTGACTAATTCCCTAAGTTAGTCTTCATGTATATCTGTTTTTAAAGTTAATTTTTATTTTTCAAAATAATACATACATAGAACTTAAAATTCAAATAGTGCTAGAAGGTTTATAACAAAGAAAAAAACAACACAGTAGTAGTCTCCTTTTAGTGGAAACTTAAGACATATCTACCAAATGCAATCTTGATTTGAACAAGCCGACTTCTTTTTCCTTTTGGGGACAAAGTCTCACTATGTCACCCTGGGTAGAGTGCCATGGCACCACAGCTTACAGCAACCTCAAACTCTTGAGCTTAAGCGATTCTCTTGCCTCAGTCTCCCAGAAGCTGGGACTACAGGCAGTCGCCATGGCTATTTTTTTTGTTGCTATAGTTGTCATTGTTGTTTTAGGCAGGCCAGGGCCAGGTTAAAATCTGCCAGCCCTGGTGTATGTGGCCGATGCCCTAACCACGAAGCTACAGGTGCCAAGCCAGAATAAGCCAACTTCTGAGTTAAAAATGGAGAAAACAGAACATGGACTAAGTATTTGCTTTTTATAAATTGTTGTTAAATTTTGATGGGTGTAATAATATTGTAGTTTTGTTTTTTTAAAATGTCTGTTACAGATAAAAATGAAACATTTATGGTTGAAATGATAAAATATCTTGAATTTCCTTTAATATTTTAAGTATGCATGTATAAAGAGACAGTATTGATAACTTTTGAATCTCAGAGAAAAGTGCCTTTGGTACCTGGGTTTTCATTACTTGTTTCTCTAATTTATATCTAAGAAATTCCAGAACAAAAGCCCAAACCAGTATGTTTCCCAAATGATTTACAGGCTTTTTGCTCCAATGTCATTCAGATTCCCACATATGGCTTTGGAGTTCATTGACATTCACAGAGTACTTATTTTTTCTTATCTGGAAGTCCTCAGGATCTTCTTTTTATCTCCAGTGGGTTCTGAAATTTCAGAATGATGCATTTTTCCTACAAATATGTGAACCAGTATCATTGTTTGCACTGAGCAATTGCTAAACCTGTTCAATCTAGTGATATCTTTAGGTATAGAGAAAAAAGAATCAGATATTTTGTTTCCTAAGATATTGATAAGTTTCTTCATTTCTTGTTCTGTTTCTGGGACAGCTATTAAAGTTAGATATTAAACCTCATATTTACCTCTAGTTTTCTATTTTCATTCTCTATCCAGGAAAGTTCCTCAACTATTTTTTTCAGTGTTTTAATTAACTTAATTTCTGCTATCCAATTTTTCTTTCTTTCTTTCTTTTTTTTTTTTAGTGGCTGGGGCCGGGTTTGAACCCACCACCTCTGGCATATGGGGCTGGTGCTCTACTCCTTTGAGCCACAGGAGCCGCCCTGTCCGATTTTCATTCCAAGAACTTTCTCACCACCACCACCCTTATTTGTTAAAGCATCTTGTTTTGTTTCATTAGAGACTATCTGTCTGAGGTCATTGATTATTTCCTCAAAGTGATGAGTTCCCAAAGCCAAGCAAGGGAACTTGACAACTTTTGCTTAATCCCCATCTTTAGTTCGGTATCTCACCCCTGCCTTTCTCTGTCTGGAATATGTCTGGTTTACCAGACAGTATATTTTCTATCTCCAGTGAGGTGTGAACATAGGAATCCTTACTTACTCCTTCTTTATTCAGCTTTTCCAAGCAATCCCTCTGTTGATGGCCCCTGCCTCACTCCTATATTCTTTGGTACTAGTCTATTTAATTCCTAAGCCTTTTGGAGCTTGAAATAAAACAGTACTCCCCCACTTTGTTTTTGCAGTATCCTGGAGGTAGACACTCAGATAAGTTTTCCAAAATTGTTACTCTTTCTCTTCTAATTTTTAGTTAAAGGGTTAGAAAAACTAGAGAGACTTTTAGATTTCATTAAAGATAGAAATACTATTTCAACTTTTCATCTGTTGGTAAAATTTTAAGAGTAGGAATGAAAAACTCATTATCTATCATAAAATTAAAAACTCTCTATTTCTGTTTATAGAAATACTCTATTAAAGCTGATATATCACACAGGATAAGAATTTTAAAACAGGGTGGTGCCTGTGGCTCAGTGAGTAGGGCGCCAGCCCCATATACCGAGGGTGGCAGGTTCAAACCCAGTCCCAGCCAAAAAAAATAGCTGGGCATTGTGGTGGGTTCCTGTAGTCCCAGCTACCTGGGAGGCAAGAGAATCACCTAAGCCCAGGAGTTGGAGGTTGCTGTGAGCTGTTACGCCATGGCACTCTACCAAGGGCAATAAAGTGAGACTCTGTCTCTTAAAAACAAACAAACAAACAAACAACCAAAAAAAGAATTTTAAAACAAATTTAAGTATATCATGATTCTTCAAGGGCTTCCATTTATAAAATTAGAGATAAATGTTATAGGAAAGTTTACATACTATCTTCCAAACATACTATAAAGTGCAGTAAATTTTTAAAAACATTATAAAAAATCTAACTTTCCAATCAAAAATAATATTACTGATAGCTCAACAATAAATCAATAAGGTATAATATCAGATAACTGGTAGAGAGTCGTGGAAGATAAGGCTGAAAAGATAAGTTGAACCAGATTATAAAGGGCACTGAAATGTCAGGAAAGCTGTAATAAATCGAGCACTCACTACTCATGAAATAGTGTACAAAATGTTCTACATGCATCATATTCACAGCCAATCATTTATAATCTTTTGAAATAGGGATTATAACCCCCATATTTCCAGAGGAGAAGCTGAAACCTAGAAATATTGAGAACTTTGCTTGTGGTCACAAAGTAAATAAGTGAAGGAGATGATATGTGAACCTATGGCTTTAATTCTAGGTTCTAAGCAACTGAAAATTATTATAAAATTAAAGAGACTGACATAACATCTGTCTGCACAAAGAAATAGTGAAATGAATGCTAAAGAATGGATTGGGGATGGAATAGGAGAGGGAGTAGATTGTAAAGGGTGTCCAACCTGTGCCCACAGGCTGCATGCAGATATTTGAAGATTTTTTTGCTTATTTGTGGTAGTGGCTATCACAAAAATTATGCATGGACCTTGTTTTTGGCTCATCAGCTTTAGTTAGTGTTTGAATATTTAATGTGTGACCCAAGACAATTCTTATTCTTCTAATGTATAGCAGATAAGAAAAAACGTTAGACACTCCTGCATAGATGTTCTTCACATCTGGGCACAAAGAAGAACTGTGGTTACCTGCTTACATAAATTAGGTGTGGATATATGACACTTTGCCTATAAAACAAGAGGGAAAGGGATATGTGTTACTTCTGAGGAAGGATTTAAGAGTCAATACTTGGTATACCATGCTCTGTTTTTAATCCCTCACCATGGGGATTTAGCCTATGCTAACTAACACAGTATACTACATCAAATAACTGATAGTTGTTAAGACTTTCAGTAAAATTTCAATAAAATTCAACAAAACAATAGTTTGTGAGTATTCTACATGAGTGATTTTTTTTTTTTTTTGAGATACAGTCTCATTATGTCATCCTTCGTAGAGTGCCCTGTAGTCACAGCTCACAGCAACCTCAAACTCTTGGGCTTCAGTGATTCTTTTGCCTTAGCCTTCCAGGTAGTTGGGACTATAGCCACCTGCCATCATGCCTGGCTACTGTTTTTATTGCAGTTGCCATTGTTGTTTAGCTGGCCAGACTGGGTTTGAACCCACCAGCCTTAGTGTGTGTGGCGC